GGGGGGGGCGGTGTGGGGGGCACAGCCCCCCAGACCGGGCTGGCCCTGCTGGCGCTGCTCCTCGCCATGGGCACCTTCTCCAGCCCCTGCGTCCGGCGCCGCGGCCACTTCGAGGTGGGAAAGGGGAAAACCCCGGTGGGTGGGGTGGGGGCACCAGGGGGAGGGTCCCGTGGGTGGGTGGGTGGGTCAGTGGGTGCCCATCCAGGGCTGCCCCGCGGGGAGGGGGAGCTGGGCTGGTACAGTGCCCCCGACACCCCCTGGACGCTCCTCACATTTGCAGGTTTGGGGTTTCTGGGCTTTTCTCCCCTAATGGGATAAGAGGGAAGGTGGGACAACAGGGAATGGCTTCACACTAGCAGAGGGCAGGGTTAGATGGGATATTTGAAAGGAATTCTCGGCAGTGAGGGTGGGCAGGCCCTGGCACAGGTTGCCCAGAGAAGCTGTGGCTGCCCCTGGATCCCTGGAAGTGTCCAAGGCCAGGTTGGAGCAAGCTGGGCTAGTGGAAAGGTGTCCCTGCCCAACCAGGACCTGGATAATGTTTAAGCTCCCTTCCCACACAGAACATTCCATGATTCATTTGCTTTTTCCCCCCGGGATGCCCTGGCACAGCCTCACCACGAGGCACAGTTTGGCTCCACCACATTCCCTGTGTCCCCATTCCCTGCCCACAGGTTTTCTACTGGACCCACCTCTCCTACATCTCTGTCTGGACCCTCCTCATCCTCCATGGTCCCCATTTCTGGAAGTGGTTTGTGGTTCCTGGCTCCCTGTTTGTGCTGGAGAAGGTTCTGGGCTGGGCCTGGCGCCGGGCGGGGGGGCTGCACATCGTGGAGGTCAACCTGCTCCCCTCCAAGGTGTGCACCCAGAGCCCCCAGAGCTCCTCTGGGGAGAGCAGGAATAACCCAGTAAACCAAGAGTTTCTGTGGAAAACTGGGGGTTTGGGTGGTTTAGATTTGCAGGGAGAGGTGAACGAAATTTCTTAATTTTCCAACTATTGTTTATTTAATTGAGAATTTTTGCCAATTTTTCAAGTTCAAAAATACCTAAAGTTGTGGAACAACTGGAGCCAAAATGAAAACTGCCCAGACTCTTAGTTTTGCCAAAAAACCTTTTTGAGTCCAGCCTGAACTGGGACTGCTGTTCAACACAAAATGGGCAGAGAACAGGGGAATAAACCCCCTTTTAGGTCCAACCTGGGAGCCCGTCTTGTGGCAGCCAGTGCTCAAACTGGGAGACACAGCCCAGGGGTTCAGCTGCAGAAGGGGAGACCAGCCAGTGTCCTCTGGATGCTCCAGCTTTCCTGCTCCCCTCCTCCTCCAGGTGACTCACCTGGTGATCCAGAGACCTCCATCCTTCCACTTCAAACCCGGGGACTACGTGTACCTGAACGTCCCGGCCATCGCCTCCTACGAGTGGCACCCCTTCTCCATCAGCAGCGCCCCCGAGCAGCCAGGTGGGAGCACAGCCTTCCCAATTTCCCATCCCTGGGATGTTTTGCATCATTAGAATGATGTTTTGCATCCCTGGGCTGATGTTTTGCATCACCAGGGTGATGTTTTGCCAGCTTGGAGCAGCCTGGTCCCATGGGAGGTGTCTCTGCCTGTGGGAGTGGGTGGCACTGGATGGGCTTTAAGGTCCTTTCCAAGCCAAAGCATTCCAAGATTTCGAGCACCCTCTTCTCTGTTTCATCCCACAGAGACCCTCTGGCTGCACATCAGGTCTCTGGGCCAGTGGACCAACAGGCTGTACGAGTACTTCCAGCAGCTGGAATCACCCAGCCCGGAGCCGAATCCGCCTGAGAGGAGCCGGAGCTGGGCACAGGTTGGTGGGACTGGGATCAGCTCTGGGCAAACCCAGCAAAGCAGCACAGCCAGGTCTGGGCTGGATGTGGAGTGGACCCCTGGGGTGCTGGGTTATCCCTTGGGATGCACATTCCCTGCACGGTGCTTGCCCAGCCCTGGGGGATTTTGTATCCCACTGCCCTGCTGACCCTGCTGGAGGGACACACCCCCTGGGAGCATCCCAGCAGTGATTCCTGCCCTCTGTTTTCCAGGAAGGCTCGGTGGCCTCTGGCAGGGATGGATCTGTCCAGCTGACGGCGTTCAGAGCCACTGCCCCGGGTCAGGACCCAGAGAGGGGGGTGAGCACTGAGCCCAGCCCGGGGCAGGGAGGGGGCTCTGCCCCATCCACAGCCAGGAGCAACCTGGAGAAACCAGCCCAGAGCTTCTTTAAGGGATCCTTCAAACAGAACCCCTCAGGTGTGCCCAGGGCCCTGCCAGGACACCGAGAGCCACCACTCTCAGGACCTTGATCCCTCCAGGCTGGAGGAGCAGCCACAGGGGAGATTGGATACTGGATATCAGGAAGGAATTCTTGGCTGTGAGGGTGGGGAAGCCCTGGCACAGGTTGCCCAGAGAAGCTGTGGCTGCTCCACCTCTGGAAGTGTTCAAAGCCAGGTTGGAGCAACCTGGGCTAGTGGAAGGTGTCCCTGCCCATAGCAAGGGGTGGAATGAGATGGACTTTAATGTCCCTTCCAGCCCAAAGCAATCCATGATTCCATGATAACAGATCTGCTCCTGTCTGTCCCTGGATGAGCAGAGGTGCCCTGTGGCTGCTTCCAGTGCCTGAGCCAGCACAGTCACTGCAAACCCCTCATTCCCCTCCAGCTCATGCGGGAATTGGGATAATTCCCTTTTTATTCAAGATCAAACCCATCTGATCCAGTCAACTGGTGACAGATCCCTGGATCCCTGGGGGTGGATGTTGTGGGACATCTCCCAGGAGCACAGGCTTGGCCCTGGCTCTGACTGAGGGATGGGGCTGGAAGTGTGTGTGCAGCTGGATAATCCAGCTGGGAAAAACCCCAATCCCGGGAACAGGCAGGGTCAGGAGGGGCTGGGCAGGGAGGGGGTGGCCCTGCTCTCTGCAGGAAGGGGCTGTCACTGCTCTCTGCACCTCACAGGGCTCCACTGGCCCGGGGGAGACCCGGCGGCTGTGCAGCGTCAAGGTGAGGGGCTGGGGCCTTCCCTGGGCTCAGCATTCCTGGGGGGACCCACCTGTGGGCCTGACCGCCCCATCCCTGTTCCTGACCGCCCCA